TGGGGGGCTTTGGGGAGAAAACGGAAAAAAATAAAAAAATCTTTAAAAAGAAAAAGAAGTTACTAATAAATCAGGACAAGGAGATAAAAACATAGAGAAAGAAAGTTGAGACATGGAAGATAGTATGTGAAGGCCAAACATTTGTCTAGTCAGAGTTGCAGAAGAAGATAATAGGAAAAAAAAGGAGTGAAGCAATATGTAAAGAGATAATGGCAAAGTTTCTCACAATTCATGAAAGATACCAATCCTCAGACAGTCCAAAAACTCACAGGCAGTTTAGTGTAGTCAAATGTTAGTGGTAGAATGTAGATGGTGGGTATTTGGGTGTTCACAGTATATTTTCTTCAGTTTGGCCGATTGTTAGAAGATTTTCATAATAATAAGTTGAAAAACCCCATGAAGGAAAAATGAATAAAGGCGAGAACAGAAATGAACAAAATAGACAACAAAATTCATTTTTTTAAAAGATGTGCTTTTTTTCTCCCCAAAACCCCAGTACATAGTTGTAAGTCCTTCCAGTTCTTCTATGTGGAATGCCGCCACAGCATGACTTGATGAGCAGTGAGGTCCATGCCTATGATCCTAACGGGCGAAACCCGGCTGCCAAAACAGAGCACACAAACTTAACCACTACACCACCAGGCCAGTCCCAACAAAATTCTTAGAGAGGCTCAACACCAACCTAATTGACTCTTTTAATAGACTAAAATTGAGCATAACCAATCAAATTGCAAATACATCAGAGATTAATGATATAAGCGATTATTATGAACAACTTCATACCAGTGAATTTGAAAACTTTGGTGAAAATAGGTAAATTCTCAGAAAAACAATATAAAAAACTGACTCAAGTAGAAATAGAAAACCTGAATGGTTATGTAACCATTAGAGAAACTGAATCAGTAAGGAAATTTTTATTACAAAGGATCATGAAGCACAAACAACTTTACAGGTACTTTCTACTAAAAGGAAGAGATCATTGCAATCTTATAAAAACACACCCAGGGAATGGAAAAAGAGGAAATATTACCCAGCTTATTTTATAAGGCTAAAATAGCTTGATACCAAAATAAATAACGATAACACAAGTGGAAATTATAGACCAATCTCACTCATTCATGCAGGTCAAAAAATCCTAAAGAAGAATACATCCAACCAAATCTCGTATGAGAATATTCACAGTAGCATTTTTCATAATAGCCCATAAGTGAGAACAACCAAAATGTTCAGCAACTGATGAATGGATAAATAAAATGTGGTACAGCCACACAGTGAAGTCAAGTACTGATACATGAAACATCATGGATGAACCTTGAAAAGAATATGCTGAGTAAAAGAAATCAGTCACAAAAGACCACCCTTTTGGGTTCCTGTATCAAATTCCATTGTGTGGGGGGGATGGGGGCTTCCCACACAACACCAAGCAATTCTCAGAAACCAGCAAGGGTGTTCCAGAATTCGACTTAATCCAACTCAATTCTGACACTATCTACATGGAAATAGCATCAGATCCCACAGGTTAAGGGTTCAGTCCTACAAGACTGCCTCCTCACCACTTCAGATGCCAATCGCAAGCCCAGGCTGTTACCTGTGCTTCTGACCTCCTCAGATTTGATTAATTTGCTAGAGTGGCTCACAGGACTCAGAGAAACATTACTTACTCAATCACAAGTTTATTATAAGAGGATATAACTCAGGAACAGCCAGATGGAAGAGATGCATAGGACAAAGTATGGGGAAAGGGCATGGAGCTTCCATGCCCTCTCTGGATGTGCCACTCTCTCAGCACCTCCATGTGTTCACCAATCTGGAAGCTCTCTGAGCCTTGTCCTCTTGGGTTTTTTTGGAGGCTTCATTATATAGTCATTGATTAAATCATTGGCCATTGGTGATTGATTCGAACTCCAGGCCCTCTCCCCTCACAGAGGTCAGGGGGTGGAACTGAGGGTTCCAACCTTCTAATCACATGTTGGTTCTTCTGACAACCAGCCCCCATCCTTGGGTGGGGTCCAAAAGTCACCTTATTAATATAACCAGAGACACCTTTGTCACTCTCAACACTTAGGAAATTCCAAGGGATTCGGGAGCTGTGAGCCAGGAACTGTGGATGAAGATCAAACGTATATGAGGAATATATTTTGGTCATCTGAATGACCAAATATATATTTCTTATAAATCACAATATGGCAACCACATATTGAATGATTCCATTTGTATGAAGTGTCCAAAATGGCAAATCTATATATACAGATATTAGATTGGTGGTGGTTGCCTACAGCTTGGGGAGATGGTGGGTCTGGGGAATAATGGCTAAGGGGTGCAGGATTTCTTTTTAGGGTGATGAAAATGTTCTAAATTGATTGAGGCGATGCTTATACAAATATGTGAATATACAAAGCACCACTGAATTGTGCACTTCAAATGGAGAATTGTATGGTATGGAATTATATCTCAATAAAGCTGTTACAAAAGAAATCCTAAAGAAGATTTTAGAAAAATAAATCCAGCACTCTATAAAGCTGAGAATATACATGAACAAGTTGTATTTATCCCAGTTGTGCAAAGTGGGTTTAACATTTGAGAGTCCGTTCATGGACTTCTCACTAAAGATGGCAGATTGGCCACAGTCTTCCATTTTCCCTCTATCTGAAAAAATCCTCTAAAATCACAGTAAAGGGATTTGTTAAAAGCATAAACCCACAAGGGCGTGAAGAATTGAAGAAGATGATAACAGTAACATTGGAAACCGGAAAGCAGGTAGATGTATAGTAAATGACTTATCAGACCCAAAAAAGTGAAATCCTAAATACATTGGGGAGAAGGCAAAAAGCAACTTGAGTTATACTGCAGAATACCCAGAGGGTTCAGGAATTGCCCATGGCATGTAATTCTGAAAATAGGGCTGAAGGGAAAGAAGAAAGGGTAGTGGTCAGAAGTCTGTGTAAGCAGTAGAGAAATCCCAAGATCCCTTCCCCCACTCCAAGGAAGTGGACCACTGTGACTTCTCATCTCCTACTCCACAGAAAAATTGAAATGTAGTCTCTGGAGAGAGTAAAACAAGGGGTCTCTGCACTGGGAGGACACTAGACATATTTGACCAGAATACTATACTAAAAACAAGGTGATTAAGTAAATATGCTTACCAGATATGAGAACCATTCCCAAACCATTTCCCCAGCCCTTCTTTTCCAGAATGTTGACAACCAGGCCTTTACAATTGAGTTGGGCGACTGGAAGATAGTTTTCTGAGCCATTTGAGCAGCCCAAGAGGCAAGACCTAGGTCCCAACTTTGGGGGCTCCCCAAGAAGACCATCCAGCAGGATCACCTTGCAGTGAACCCCACAGTTAACAAGTGCCACCCATGTCCTCAAAGCTTTGGATCATCTTTTTGGTCTTTCACTCTTAAATATGAGCAGACAGCCAATGATTTCATCAGACATTTCAGGAAAGCTCTGGTATGAAGGATAGAGACCAAAACAAACAAATTGGAAGAAACAAAAACTATACCAGAAGGAGAAACGTTTTTTAAAAAATCTATTATTACCAATAGTCTCTGAGAGATAAGCTATTATAACCATAAATTAAAAGAATCTATTAAGTCAATCAAGCACATTAATATAGTAATGGAAGAAATGATGTGATTATCTCATTAGATGCAGAAAAAGTATTAGATAGAACTCAACATCTATTCACATATGGAAACTTGCTGTATGAATAGAGGATGCATTACTGGGGAAAGGATGGTTGTCCATGTGGGGTAAAAACAAAGAAAGAAATGAATTGTCTTCCTATTTCACCACCATATGTTAAAATCAGTTCACGCTAGATTATTACTTAAGTGTGAAGGGCAAAAACTTTATAATTTTAGGAGAAAATATGAGGAGACAAATTATGACTGTGATGGGCTATTTGCAATGCACATAACCAACAAATTATTACTCTCCATGAAGTATGAGGAAGTACTGAGAAAAATCAGAAAAATACAAGTACTTCAATATAACATTTAGCAAAATAAAACCAAATCTAAACAGACGATTCACAGAAGGCAAAAAAAAAAAAAAAATGACTCAAACATATGAAAGGTGGCAAATTAAGTAATAATCAAGGGCATGGGAAATCAAACCACACTAAAATACCATTTTCCCCATATAAGGTCGGAAAAACATTAAAAAGTCTGACAATACCAAGTATTGGCCAGGAGAAGGAGCACTAAGAGTTCGTGTACACTGCTGGTACCCATGTAGGTTGGTTCAACCACAGCCTCTTTAGAAAATAGTTTGGTGATAGTAAAGCAGAAGGTGCACACATCCTATAACCCAGGAATTCTATTCCCAGGTGCACACCCTAGAAATTCTCCTACAGGTGCACAAATGCTCATGGCAGAACTGCTTATAAGAGCCTCCAAACTGGAAGCAACTCAAATGTCCATTGGTGATGGAACAGTTAAATGCATCATGCAATAGAATAATGTATTCCAGTGAAAATTAATGAAATAGGGCTAGTGCATCAACATGGGTGAATGCGAAGTACGTAATATGGAGCAAAAACTGAAGTCACAAAAAGTACATACAATATGGTTCTATTGGTAAAAGTTCAAAACAGGCAAAACTAAACAATATGTGATTTAAGGATACTTACACACTCATAAAACCATATTTAAAAAGAAAAGGAGTGGTAAACACAAAGTTGATCTTCTCAGGATTTAATCTCTAAGGTATCACAGGCCTGTCAAATCCATAAAACGAATTCTTGGGGGAGATTTTGGCCAACTGTTTCCATGGTGAAGAAAGGTATAGCTTCATGTGAAGTCCGGATTGGCTCTATTGTATTTCAGATGACAGCTCTCACTAAGACTTGTAGGCTGATCTGCACAGGTCTCTTCAGGTCACTTTGTTAGGATCTGACACCAGCTGCTCAAGTGGAGACACGACTCTCCCCTCTTCCCTTGGGCAGCCCGGCCAGACATTGTGAACCTGAGTCCTGTGATGTTGGTTTCTAGCAGGAGCACAGAACAGCCAACTCCCTGAGCAGTGGTGCTCTGACGTGCACGAAGAAATTCAGCCTGGATTATTTAGCCCTGGACTTCAATTCAGCATCACCAGCCCCTGTACAACAGGTAGGAAGGACTTTGTGTCTGAGAATTCCAATGATATTGTATTTCTGTTTAGATTTTTCTGATGATTCAACCATGCGTGTTCTCGTTGGAAAGTCTTAAACATACAGACATGTACACTGAAGAATATTAAAATAAGCCCTAATTCTGCCTCCCAGAAATCTTGGCATATTTCCTCTGGGGTATGTTCTTTGGGTGTATATGTAAGAATGTATGTAGTGTTCATGCTCTTCAAAACTTGGACCATAAAGTTTATAGACAAATCTCTCCGGCAGAGATGCGGGTGGGTTAAAGGGCACTCTAGTTAGAGGAAGGGCCTGCTTAGGGAAGAGGCAACAGCCTAGTTTGGCTAGACTCTGGGAAGTGGTGACAGGAGCCCTCAGTAAAGAGCCTCAGTTGCCAGTATGGGCAGTTTTGACTCCTTTGGGTAGTAGTCTGATCTGTAAAGTGGGGATCAGAATTAATAACAGCTACAATGAGACCTGTTGTGAGGATTAAACGATTAATACATGTAAGCGGACCTAGCCATTAACTAGTGTCACTCACTGCAGAGTGTAAGCCGTGGAATAAGTGAATAGTAAGTAGTGGACAACAGCTAAATATTTTTGAATAAGGGATGGTAATAATCTAAACTGTGCCTAACAATGTAGTGTTTGATGAGAAAAGCTGCTTGCCAAACAGGAGATATAGTATGATTCCATTGTTTGTATGCAGAAAAAAAGCCTGGAAGTCTTCCTTTCCTTTTTGCTGAATGAACTCCCATTTCTCCTTTACCTTTAATTTCATTCCAAAAACCTGAACTGATACACCAGAAAAGCTGGTCAGGTGAAACTGACAAGTACAAAAGGTGCATTAATCAATTTTGGTAGACTATGCAGCCAAGACAAACAACCCCCAAGTCTCAGTGGTTTGCAATGGCAAAGCGTTTTTCAGTTGTTGCTCATGGGACAGTCCATGGCAGGCTAGGGCCTTGGCATTCCAAGTCATCTTTAATCCAGGGCCCAGGTGGGAGGAGCATGCTGGTCTCCTGGCAGAGGAAAAGGAGAGATTGCAGAATCACAGGATGCCTTTTTTCTCTTTCAGATTGGCACATGTCACTTAGCCACTCACATTATATCAGTCGAAGCAAGTCAAATGGTTAGAGCAAAGCTGAAGGAAGCAGAGACAAAGAGATATTTATACACATACATAAAAAGTATAATAACGCTTCTGCAGGGAATGACCCGGGAGGAAGGGGCAGCAAATCTTTAACAACGCTGTAATCTACCACAGAAGGGCTGACATTTTTCTGAATTTTTTAATTCAGTGTAATGAAATCCTTTTTGTTCTCTCCCTTCAGAAACTTCTCCTTTCAGAAGAACAAAGAGTAGACTATGTCCAAGTGGATGAGCAGAAGACACAAGCTCTCCAGAGCACAAAGCAGGAGTGGACGGATGAGAGACAATCTAAAGCGTGAGACATGTGAGCTTGGGCTGTGTGTGAGACAGGGAAGCATGGGGCTCGCTTTCAGGTTTTTTTGCTAGAATTGCACCGGTGGTCAATGCCAGTCAAGATGCAGAGAGAATGTGTAATTTCCATGGGCTTAGCAAGAATCTTTGGGACAGAGGATCTATTTGTACACATTGAACAGAGAGAAGAAGGAAGCAATCTCCTCCCAGAGGAGGCTCTGAGGAAGTCCAGCCCCTGCTGCTGCCCCTGCCTGTCACAACAGTTTCCTTCTCTGTCCACACTTGTTCATGCCCAGAGCCTCATGGATGCTTGGAGTTGGCTCCACAGTCACAAGAGGCAGACATGGAGGATTCCACAGCTGCAGACTGAGATGTAGAAAACCCCATTCATTCAGGCAGAGTTGGAACAACAAAAACAACACTTGGGCGAATATTTTTCCCAGAGCTTGGTTAAAAATCTCTCCAGTGAAGTGTTTGGAGTGTAGATTGGAGTCAGTATTGCTACTGACAGGATAGGATCATTTGACTCCAATACCTGAAATTCTGACTTCTCTCCTGTGTTTCCTTTGGAATCATAAATTATCCCAGGAGAGAGGCACCTGGAGACCATCTTGTCCTAAAAACATGGCTGAGGAAATCAAGCCCAGCAACAGTGGCAGAATCTATGCTTCTTACTCCAAAAACTCCAGCAGACAAATCATTTCTATCCCCAAAGAAAGATAATTCAAGTGAAAAGAGCACTGAATCCTGGGCTCCAGGATGAGCTTATCAGATGATACTGGTGGCTTTAAGGATGTCCTGGTTAAGCTGCTACCTGTGGCTAAGTGTTCCGTTGCTGTTGGCCTTTTCCCAGAATGCTTTCACATGCATCTTCTCATCTCTTTCCCTAAAAGACTTCGGAAGCTAGGCTTGGCAAAGATTGTTGTTCCCACTTTGAAAAAAAGAAAATTGAGAAGCAGAGGAGGGAACACTTTGCCCAAGATCACTCATAGAGCTGAGACACAGAGTCAGGCTTAGAATAGAGTTGGCCAGGCTGCCTATTGAAGGCTCATTGCACTGTCTCACACTGCGTCTGAGGATTGTGATGAAATCCATAAGTGTGGTCAACCTTGAAGACACGTGGGAAACATGTGCAGATGCAAGATGAGCCATCATCTCCTCTCCATTTCATAGGATTTTGAGCAGGTGTTTTTATACTTGAAAGGTATATGTGTCAAGCCAGGGTTCCTTTGTATGGTGTCCAAACAGGGAACTCTAACATAATCAGTAGTTACCATTAGAAATACTTCCTGACGATCAGTGTAAAATCCATTCTTGGAGCATGTGGTCCCTTTGCAATGTGTTTCCTGCCAGCTAGCTACTGTTTGCAGAAGAATTTTTGCCACCTTGGGGAAGGCACAAATCTTCCCTGAATATCCTATGCTGGACCCAAGCTTTTGACTGATAAAGAATTACGACCAGAAAAACAAACAGAAAAACAATGAGTTCTGGTCTCAGGTTTCCTCGCTAATTTTTCTCTTCTGCTTTAGTGATGACTAGGTCCTTTATCGGGCACTGGGGAAGAATAAAGACTCAGTTGGGCATGTGATTTTACTTAATGCCCCTTCCTTATCCTTCTGAGCACCTGCAGCAGGAAGATAGATCTGAACAACTAAGAATTAAGCAGATACTGGTCTACCATTCTGACTGGCACTGTGTCTTATATATAAGGAAGAATCAAATAGGCAGGCAGGTCTATGACAGTCAGGGTTAGTCAAAGCAGTTTTAGGCTTTGCTGCAGGGTTTCAGGGTTTCAGACTGCCCCAAAGGTAAGTAAATGCCAAAGTCTTAGTTTTTCATACCATGAGAGGAGTAATTTTGATGTTCAAAGAAGCAGGATCTGGAGACATCATTTTTTTCCTGGAGCAAGGTGAGGAAAAACTGCCAAGTGCTTTAACTGAGTGAAGAGTCCTTACTGAGCCTGGACGGAACAAGGAAAAGGCTCCCCACAGCCGCGGCTGGCCCCATATCACTGCACCCCAGCTAGAGCCTGTAAAGAGCTGCCTTCTTCCCTATGGGACTTGTGAAGAGCCACAGAGCTTCAGGCAAGAATCCAGGGCTGCAGACTGCCAGTTCCTATAGACGGTAGCTTCCTTATGTGTAGAGCACCTGTGTTTAGATCATTGATTACTGCCAAAGGTCAGTGCAGAAAAATTGTTTGTCCAAATGTCAAGAACCATACCAGATTGAAGATAGATCGGAAAAGTAAATAGAGCTGAAAATATGTCACTAGTGAAGAGTCATCCAACTGACCAAAAGGAAAAAATCTGTTTCTACAAAACATTTCCAGGGACATATTTACTGCATGAAGCAATACACATTTGAGTGGTGTTACTTGTTTGGAAGTGATTAATTAGGGGTTTTAAAAAAAGATGACTTCACTCTCAATTCCAGGGTGTATGCGATTATGTCCTGCTTTGATAAAACTGCTAATGGATACACAAAAGCGTAATAAGTCAGTGATACAAAGTACAGGCAGTTTTTGAGCTGACAGCAGCATATCCTCCTGAGAAAGTCACCATTAAGTCAAAACAATGCTGGCCAAATCTTGTTTTCTGGTGGAGATAATCCGTGTGTGACAGAGGGCTATGATTCTGACCAGGGTCTGAGGGTTTTGTTTTTTTTAACAGAAATGATCCCAGATATTCCAAATCAAGTGCATGTGGCATGTCTTTACACTGTGCAGGGTGCATCTTCTAGAGGATTGGGGAATCAACCTAACAGGACAATGCAGCAGTTACTCCCACATTGTTTTTTCTAGTTCCTCTCTGCTTTGCTTCCATCTTTTTTCGTTAGGAAATTCTTCTAGATCAGGTGTTGTGTAGTGCAGAAGAGGGGATGGAAGGGTCTCAAGCCTGCAAGCCCATAAGGCCACAATCCCAGGAATGTTGGGAGTTAAGCTTTCCTTGGGGAGGGAGGAGCCCTAAGGCCTAGCAAACAGCCTGGCTATCACGGAGTGATCCTGTGGAGGTCAGTGTCCAGGCCATTTCACTGTGGAAAAAAGATCAGCTGAATCATGGCCTTTAGGTCCCAATCAAGACTAAAGGCTCCCTTCAGGCCTGGCTTTCTCCCCTCAGGCTCCCTCAGTCCCCTTCCATACCATCTTTGTACCCACAATCATGCTGGTTTTTAAAAATTCATTGTGTTTTTACTATTTCACTTCTGGCATTAATAAAAGTCTTATAAGGAGGAGTCATGACTTAAGTTCTCTCTTATTTGTTTTAAGTGATGACATCCAATATAAATATAGAATACATTTTGAAAGCTGAATATGTGAAAATGGACTTCATTGCCATTTTCAAGTACAACAAACTTAACGTTACTTACATGGGATGACCTACACACGTGTTATTTCACTGCAAACAGTTGAGCTGGTGGCTGTAATGAGTGCAGCTTCTTCTCAGCAAAACCACATCTTGACATCTTTTTTCTTGGTCAAAACCTAGCTTCAGTAATTGACAGTGGTATCAACGGCCCTCCCTGATACCATGTATACATGACCTTTGTCATTACTGACATTAGAAAGCAACAGACCCCAGCCTGCCTCTCCCAGTCCAGACTAAGCCCCTGACCCAAAGATGAGCAGGTTGGCCCAAGGACTGACCTGAGAAGCTAACCTACAGAGACCTTGAACCCCAGGCCTCTTATACTCCTGCCCCTTCACCAGACACCTCCCTAAGTTTCCAGCTTCCTACTTCTCCTTTATTTCCCTTGATCTTAAATTGCATTTATTGTTATCACTTCCTTACTTTAATTGTGCCATTTGTTTTATAAATTTAGTTTTTATTTTTTGCAACTAAGACAGTGTGGCATTGGTGCAGGCTGGAACAGGGGGCCCAAAGGGAGAAAAAGCAGAGCTGAGACGCAGACCCCCACCTACACAGGCAGTTCATTTATGACAGAGGGAGCACTGGAGGACCTTGGGAACCTGACAACCTTTCCAGTCAAGGGTGCCCGGTCACTGGATAGAGATCCACATGGACAGTAATGAACCTTGACCCCACTCTGCCGCCACACACAAACATTGATTCCAGGTGGGCCTCAATGGGGAAGGCAGAGCAATCGATTTGACCTGTTCCCTCTGCTTTATCAGGTCATTTTGCTTCTGTCTACCACTGCTGTTTGGCTCTCTGTTTCATGGTCAAAACCCATATTTTAATGAGTTTTAGCCTTTGTTTGCCTTCGTGTAAAAGAACACAACCTAATTGTTTTATGTCTGTCTTGAAATTTTAAATTATTTCAACTTTTTTGTTCTTCAATTTGAGACTTTTAATTCATTTTCATACTCTATGGTGATAGAAGACAGAATAGTGGTTACCTCTATTGGGGAGATTATTATTGATTGGAAAGGGCACAACAGAGCTTTCTAGACTGTTGGGAATGTTCTGTATCTTAATCTGGCTGGTGGTTATATGAGTGTATACATATGTAAAAATTTATCGATGCATAAATTTAGTGTTTGTAAACTTTGCTGAATATAAATTATACCTCAACAAACCAGTTAGCATGAAGAAAAATAAATGACTCCAGGGGAGTTAAAAAGTTAATGTAAGAAACACAACCATAAAACATATTAAAGGAAACTACAGGAAAACTTTTTATTATCTTGAGTGTGGAAGACCTTCAGCAGCAAGGCACAAAAGACAGAAGCAATAAAGGAAATATTTATTTCTTTTGATAATTCCATTTAATTCAACACATGTTTAGTGATCACCTGCTATGTAACATGTACTCATGTAGGAGCTTTGGATACACGAGTGAGTGAAACACAGACCCCTTTCTGAAGAGCTCGTGTTCTGGCAGAATGTAGTGGGCACTGTTGGTGCTCTGCCCAAATCCTCTAGGACCCATTTCACTTTTTGTTGTGCCTCTTTCTGGCTTTAATGTGCTTTGTGCCCACACCTTGGACTCTCCCTCAGAGGCGAGCCCCTCAGACAGTTACTAGAGCTGTTTTACCTGCAACAACAGAGAGTTGGAAGGGTCTCAGAATGGACTCTCCCTGCCCTCCCCTCTGAGGGGGACAGCATTCTGAAATCCCAGCTCCTTTACCTCAGGTTGGTACAAAGTCTAAGTAGAAATTACACTCCAGAGTTACCCTGTGGTTTCTGGCCGAATCTTTCTTTGCTCTGAGATTGCCCCCTTGCTTGGATTCTTCCCCTTCCCTGTCCTGCCTTCCCCACTATCCTGGTCTCAGCCTGTGGCAAACCCAATTGTAGTACGTTGCATTCTCGAAAAATCCTCACAAGGATATCTCCTGTCCCACTTGCTCTTCCAGAATCTAGCCACTCTCTATTAAGAGGTGCAGTCTACCTCTCCTTCTCTAGAACCTGGGTAGGACTTGGCAGTGACTGCCTTGACCAGTAGAGCACAGCAGAGGGGACATTGTGACATCTGGGGCTGGGTGATACAACTTCTGCTTGGCTCTCTCTCAGGATACACACCCTTGGAACCCAGCCATCATGCTGTGAGGAAGCATAGGCCACGTGGAAAAGAACCAAGGCCCTTAGACCTAGATTCTGCTGAGTTCCCAGCTGGCAGCTGGCACAAAATTGTCAGCTGTGTGAGTAAGACCTCTTGGAAGCGGATTCTTCCAGCACTCAGTTTAGCCACCCCAGACACTGTCCCATGTAGCAGGCACGAGCCTTTCCCCCAGTGACTGCCCATGAGCTATATTTGAGAGCATTCAAGGCAGGGAGAACAGACTGCAAAAGCCCTAATTCAGCAGGAAACCTGGAATGTTGAGGGTGCAGCCAAGAGGCCAGTGTGGTTGGCATGGAATAAGCAAGAGAGAGCAGAGCAGAGGAGGTAGAGAGGTAATGGGTGATTCACAGATTATAGCGTGGGATCTTGTAGGCCAATGTACAGACCTTTGGCTTATGTTGTGAGTGAAAATGGAGCCAGTGAAAGAAATTGAGCAGGAGAGACAGGTGATCTGACTTACATTTTGAAAGGAAGGATCATCATAGCTTCTATGTTGACAATAGACTATAAAAGGATTAAGATTAGAATCAGGGAGACCAGGTAGTAGATTATGGCACACAGACAGGCAGGAGAGAAGAGTAGCTCAGACCAAGGTGGCAGCAGTAGAAGTGGCGGGATGTAGTCAGATTCTGGCTAGTTTAGACAGAATGACAGAATCTGCTGGGGGATTGGATATGTTCCAGGAGAGGAAAAGAGCAGTTAAGGATAACTCCAGGGTTTTTCACTAAGCAACTGAGAGGATGGAGTCAATCACCACAAATGTAGTTTGGAAAAACTGTGGGTGGAAAAGTGTTATGGGGGTCGGGGGTCAGAGACCAAGAGTTTTTTAGAACTATCTCAGGCCTCCCTTGGAAAGTGAGAAAGCCTTTGAAGAAGCTCAGAGCCCCCCTAGGATGAGTAGGAGGGATGGTGCCACGGTAGATTGGATTGGACTTGGGAAGGTTGTACCCAAGGATCATTCTAGAGCTAAGTAGAAATTACAAGTAGGCAACTGGATATGAGAGTGTGGAGTGTGTGAATGGGATGGAGATAAGAACTTGTGAGCCAAGACATGGCTTCGAGCCCCAAGTCTTGGTGAGGTCACCAAGGGTGGCTGAGAGTGGGCATAGAGGGAGAAGCGACCCCAGCACTGTGCCCCCCAAATTTTATTACCTCTGTCCTCAGCTTGTGGGGGAGGTTCTGGGCCGCAGATTGTCAGGTAGTACAAGGCAATTGAAGACAATTTAGGAGATGGGAGAAAGTGGAAATTACTTGGGTCCTGTCATTCAGCATTAACTGTCGTCAGCATTTCGGAATACTTTTGTAGTTTTTGAGTTGTAGGTATACATTCAATGTATAGCAGTCATAAAAACGAGGAAGGTTTTTCAAGTTTAGCATTAAGTTTTCTCCTGAAAGTTTTTCATCTAACATCTGGGCTTTACCTCTGTCTAAAAATTCTTCAAAAACATCTTATTGAACGGATGCATGAAAGATGCATCATAATGTAATTGTTCAGCACTTAAATGGTTGGCAGTTTTTTCCCTATGATACAAGCTGTTTCAGTGGGATTCTTGTGTATAAGTCTCTGCATGAATGGTTGTTTTCTTAAGATAGATTCCAAGAGGTAGATCTACAATACAAACTTGCTCTCCAGAAAACATGCACACCCCCACCAGCATGCTGTTTTCCCCACATCCCTGTCACTGCTGGATCTGTTTTCCTGCCACATTAGAAAGAGAAACCTCAGTTTGCATGAGCAGAGCAGAATCCAGAAACACTAGAATAAAAATTTTGTGCTTTACTGACCATATTTCAGATCAGGGAAGAAAAGTGCTGGGACAGTTGGTGAAGTGTCTGCGGATGGGGGGAGGAGGCAGTGTTGTGTAATGTTGGGAAAAGGTAATTGAAATCTGTGTGCAGGCATTATGCTATGCACTTTTACATTCTTGTATATAATTCTCACAACAACCCAGCAAGCTAGGTGCTATTATTACACCTTTTGTAGGTGAGGAATTGAGGCTCAGAGAGGCTAAGTAACTTTCTCAAGGCCACTCAGCCAGGAAGTGGCAGAGGCTGGATTTCAATCTAGGTCGAGCTCTCTCTCTTGCTCTCCCCGTATGTGCACTGAGGAAAGGCCACATGAGGACATAGGAGAAGGCAGCTGTCTATTAAGCCAGGAAGAGAGTCCTCACCAGAAGCCAAATTTGCTGGCACCTTGACTGTGGACTTCTAGTTTCCAGAATTGTGAGAAAATAAATTTATGTTGTCTAAGCCGCCCAGTGTGCAGTATTTTGTTGTGGCAGTTTGAGCAGACTAATACACTTGGCTTTATCCGAGGGAAAAATGAACTCATATTCTTACAACAGGAGCTGGTTTTGCAACTTGGAGCCAGGTGCCCACTGAAGTTAGGCTTCTACTTCCCATGGAAACCAGGAGATAGGGGCTCCAACTTGCTCGATGTTTATGTTCCAAAGAGATGTTTCTTACATCCTTGAAAAAGACATTCCTGGGTCATAAAGCTGGCAAGAGGCATCTTTTTAGCCCTTAAAAATACTTACATACTTTCAAAGAGACAGAGAATGAAATTACAAATTTTCTAAAGTAAATGCTTTAAGAAAAGGGAGGAGGGGGGCCTCTCCCCTTATTTACCACAGGGAGAATTAAGCCTCTTATGTTTAATTTGCATGTGCTCTTGCAGCAGCTCCCTCTGAAACATGTCGTAGCCTACAGCCTTGCTAAATTCACTTATTCTGGTAGCTCCTTTGTAGAATCCATCAGATTTTCTACATAGGTGATCATGTCCACAAATAAAGGCAGTTTTTCTTCTTTCCAATCTGGATGCCTCGTATTGCTTGATTTCTCTCCTCATTATGAGTTGGATTTTCCCACTGCTCTGCATGCCTGGTAATTTTCGATTGGATGCCAGGCATTATGATTTTCCCTTGTGTGCTGGCTACCTTTATATTCCTCAACATCTTCCCGAGCTTTGCTCTGGGGTGTGTTAAGTGACTCGGAAACAGTCGGATCCTTTTGAGTCTTGCTTTGAAGATTTGCTGCGTGACACCAGAGCAGCTTTCAGTGTCAGAGTCATTCTTTTCCATGACCCTGAGGCGAGACCCTTCTGAGCACCCTGCCCGAGGCCGCCTGAATTATGAGGTTTGCCATTTTGGCCAGTGGGGGGTGGGCAGCCACTAGTCCCTGTCCTGCTGTAGGGCTGGGCATAGTTAACCTTTCTTCCTTTGGGGGAAGGGAGGGGTCCTTTCATGGCCTCCCTCCAGTAGTTTCCTCACACACTTGTGCTGATCGGTGGTCTGCAGATTGCTTCAGCAGGACCCCCTGTGGATATGAAGGTTCTCTCCCTCTGCAGCTCTCTTCTCTCTGGTACCCTGTCCCTGCCAGCTCTAGGTGCTCAGAGTTTCAGTTCCATCTCCTAAACTCAGGGTGTCCGTTGGGCCCCATCAGGAAACGCCCTCTCCAGTCAGTCAGCTGGGGCAACTGCAGGGCTTACCCATTTGTCCCCAGCTCCAAGAGACCACTGTCCTTCCCTGCCTGATAGCCAGTGTCTCCAAACCTGTAGTTCAGATCTGTTGTCTGTCTTTTGGGGTGTTTCAAGTGGGATGGTAGGTCCAGTCCCTGTCACTCAGTGTGCCTGGACATAGTCCACCACTGCAGAACTTGGACAGCTCTGATGTTGTGGGTTGGAGGGAGAGAGATGCTGTTGACGGGGCTGTGGCAGTGGTCCTGATGATGATGAAGAATCTCACCTGACAGCATGCAGCAGCTCTAGTGGCTACAGTGAGGGTCTCTTTCTCTCTCTCTCTTCCGTCCTTCCTTTCTCTCTCTCTCTCTCTCATTCTTTCTTCCTTTCCTTCCTCCCTTGCTTCCTCTCTTCCTTCTTTCTTTCCTTCCTTCCTTACTTTTTTCTTTCTTTCTTTCGTCCTTTCTCCTTTCTTTCTTTCCTCCCTCCCTCCGTTACTAAACACAAACACAGGTTTCTTTAACCACCACACAGGAGGGCCAAAACCTGGAAATGCCAGGCTTGTGGTAAAGAAAGAGGTTTATTATCAAAAGGCTGCCAGACAAGAAGATGGGAATTAAAACACAGATCCACCTCCTTGAAGGGAAAAAGGTAGCGGTTTCTATCTGGGGTTTTAGATAGGGGAGGGACAGCACGTGGCCATGATGGGTGGCGTCTTCCCACCAGCCTGCGTTT